CATCTCAAGCAGCTTGTTGTAGGCAATGAACGGAAGAAGGTGAAAAATATTTCATTTGTTGGCTGGAAGCACTTGCCAGGAAAAAAATGCGCTTTTACTTCGCCATAACCATCAGTGGTTTTTGATTTTAGACAAACAGCGGCAGAATGCGCACGCTATTTTTTTGTGGAAAAAAATCTTCATAACACTTTAAAGAATCGTTAAAAGATGAGGAAGATAGGTTTAGAATCAGTGTTTTTAGCTGCATCTATACCTCTTATTTTGTGAGGCTACGGTCACTAACAAGGGAAGGATACAGGTCGAAGAGACGATCAAAAAATACATATTTTAGTTAAAGTTTAAGACGCTGATTCTAAGTCTGCCTTTCGTTTCTATGAAGCGTTTCTCTGAAGGGTCATGAAGGCTTTTCTCTGCCGAACCATCCTTTACGGCCCATTAATAATTGATCTTAACAAATTCAATCTAAAACAGTAATCCATGAAGTTATCATTCAATAAAGATGTCATTGTAACAATAATATTCAAATACAGATATGGAGGATAGATTTGGAATTAACGGTTCAAACTACATCTAATATCCAATATGTATCGTTCTTTGAATAGCCACTTTGATTAACTAAGCATCTTTCCCTTATAGGATAAATATAGTGTAGAATAAAATCGCTAGTTAAAGAAATTAAAATTACAAACGTTACTCTATTTTTGTGACGAGATGCCTCACAAAAGAGTTCATATTACATAGAAGTGTAATAATACCGAGTCAAAAAGGTCACTACGGAAGAGAGTTGATAGCAGCTTCCGTTACTTTGTGAGAACCCAGTTACCAGATTCTAACCTTCTGTAATTCATTTTGTCATCTTATTACTTAACCGGAATTTCATTGAAATTATGAATTTTGGAAAAAGGATTTAAAATCAAGCTTTCTGGCTCCTATATAAATCACAACGTAAAAAATAGCTTTTAAAGCTTGTTATTTCACTCATACAACTTAGAGACAAGTATCACTATGCTTTTAGAAGATATCAGGATAGATGTCAGTTTCCGCGTAAACTATGACTCACGATAACGTACTGATCTGTTCGTAAGTGTATATGTGTGTTATCTGTCACAAAAGTACTCGAGTTACTATGAAAGGAATGAGCATATAACCACAGATTTATCACATGCTACGCATCTTCAGATTATTAAAGCTTTATAATGTTGAGTGTAAAAGGAAGTGCTTTTGCTCAAAACTCTAAGACGGGTACTTCGATGTCACAAGCACGAACTGGAGGCTTTTTTTCAGCTGTTGCACAGCTCTGCAGCTCAAGATTGGAGCATTAAAGGATGGCATAGAGGTATTAGAGTTTCGGTAATGGCTAACATTGCAAACTAAATGATCCTAGAAGACCTCTGATAAAGGAGAAAACCAAAAGACTCTATCCTCTACTATAATGGAGGCAACAAAGAAGGGTTTCGCCTTCACTGAATGAATCTCCTCAATAGCCACGTCTACTAGATTTCAAGTCCTCCATTGAACTTCTGTTAGTCGCACTTTTCATCATCGTAATACTGTCTAATTCCTTCCTTCAGCCTACACAAGGATTATCCTGAAGAGAACTGAATGAATGCTAGATCAATCACGTTTTGCGAAAAGGGTTTTGGAAAAACAAAGTCGACTCTGTGACAAGAGTCATCGAAGTATTTCAAGGAACAAAATTCTATCCTTAAGTTTAGTGGATAAAGGCCTTGATTCTAAAATATGGATGTTGTTGGGTGATCTTTGCCTTTAGCGACAAGACGTACGCTAACAGGATATTTTATGTCTGTGCAGCGATTGCACATCTAGGTCTCTTACCGTTTTCATGTATAGATGTTATATTCATTTTTTAAACGATTGTTCAGTGCAGAATGAGGTTTAAGAGAAAAGGTACTTGCCAAAACCTTCAGCGACCCGCTTGTGCGCGTAGTGAACGGAATAAATGAAAGTGAAAGTCAGTAACCAGCACTTTATATTCTCGCTTCTTTGAATGACCAGAAGATGACCCTAATGCACCTGGCGTGTAAATCCAAATGATCATTTTAGAAATGATGTAATGAATAACTTCAAGGCCAGGCAGGTAGCTTAATAGAAAACAAATGAGGAAAAGTGAAAATAACTAAACTTTCGGCACCGCGTTCCCTTTTTTCAACTTTCCTTTTTTTTGCCGTAGGTACACTTTAGCAGCTGATATCATCGAACATTACCCATTTAGAAAACCAACTTTACCTAAACGGGAATGTGAATTTTAAAAAATTAGACCATGTTTAAGATGTGATACCTTTCTATGGCAGCAGGTAGGCTAAGATTGTCAACGTTTGAATATCGTTGGACGTTTCGCAAAAACTAAGCCCTCTTTCAGAATGAGCAAGGCCTCAGGCACTCGGGAACCAACTACAGATAAATGCCGTAAAAGATGCATCTGACCTACCTTGGAAGATTTAAGCTTTTCACAGAATTCAAAACTTAGATCTTTATCAACTTCTTTTGCCTAAACTTTGGGCAAAAGCATTTCCAGACGTTGGAGTTTATTACCTTAAATCTCACTTTATTCTCCATGAATGTGAAATTATCTTACGTCTTTCATCGTGCTCAAAATGATTTGGAAATCAGGATTAAAACAGTTAATTAAAATGATTAAGATAGTGGGACTGATAATTGCGGAGGATATAAGCCATGAAGAATGGAGGAAACGCCATTTTAAAGCTAACCCTACTCATGGCAGACGTCGTTTTCTTCGAACCTCGCAAAGGCAATGTATTCGTGACTTCGGGTGGCTCAACTAAAAGACTTGCTAATCAGACCAACAGAAGAGTAGCGTATAAAGTAAGACTACATTTACGAATAACGTTATGAAAAAGACGTCAACCTTTCAGTTTGTTTTCCCGCCAGACTCCAGCTTTTTCGCCAAACCTGAACAAATGTACGGTTTCATTCCTCGAGGAGGAAAAATTAGTGTGACTCTTTACAGAAAGGCAAGTTGTGACCCGTTGCTCCTCCTAACCAATACATAAACTGCCATTTTTAGCCAGGAAAAGGAACTACCGAAAAGATGACAATTCAGTTTGCAGCAGTCGAGGAGGGGGCCAACGATCCACAAGCGAGCTTTGCAACTGGAAGGCCGATGGGAGAATTTGCTGGCGAAACAATTGTGACATTAGTTGGCACAGAATAAATGAACGTAGCAATGTTGAGAAAAGTGAATAAAATCTTAACTGTTATATCTTTAAAAACGCACTACCATAGCAAATAAGTGCTGCCGCCTAGCGATTCAAAGAGGGCAATAGAGCAATCGTTTGGAACGAATAACAGATAGCCAGCTTAAATCAAGCTGTGACTTTTTTTGTAGCTTGCATGAATG